GCAAAATTGAAATATGGGTCAAATTGCGGCCGCAATCTATTTCGAAGTTGGAATGATTTTTTTAAATTTATGTAGCGTTTGTCCTGGAAAGATCACAACAAAATTTACGAGTACTCCAATTTTCAGGTTTTTTCACGCATTCTTCTGAATGTGAAAACTCACTGAATTTGGAGTACTTTTTTAGTTGGCCCAAGCATGGCCGAGTGGCAAAAATGGAAAATGTGTTGAATCGGTGCGACAATTATTTCGCAGTCTAAATGATTTTTTTTCAATGTTCTATTATTATTTATGGAAAGAACACGACCTCATCTATGGATTCTCAAAATTTCAGATTTTTGTGCATCTTCGTCTGAGCACAGAAAATCGTCAAAGTTGCCTTTTGCAAAACGCCTGTTTCGTTGTGCCTGACCTCCCTGTTTTGAGAAGACGGGGCTCAACGCCTGGGCCTGAGGGCCCTTTTGTAGATCACATGCCCTCACTTCTTTTTGGGTTCCGCTTCTACCCGAGGACCGTCCCAATGCCCCCACTTCTTTTTGGGGTCCACTTCCACCCGAGGACCGGTCCTTCGTTTTTCCAAAAGTCCCGGTTCTACCAGAGCTAGCTGTAGGTAGTCTGCACTTTTTGCCAAGGACCGGTCCCCCAATTTTTTTTGCCCCCGAAAAACCCACTTGCGTCCTGGTCGCCCGCCGCCAAAAATGCGACACCTTGACACAGACGCCGAAGCCCACTATACCGCAGCCTAAGGGCTGCGAACTGCAAAAGGGCCCTCAGGCCCAGGTATTGAGCCCCGTCTTCTCAAAACAGGGAGGTCAGGCACCATGAAATAGGCGTTTTGCAAGAGGCAACTTTGGCGATTTTCTGTGCTCAAACGAACATGAACAAAAATCTGAAATTTTGAGAATCCATAGATGAGGTCGTGTTCTTTCCATAAATAATAATAGAACATTTACAAAAAATCATTTACACTGCGAAATAATCGTCGCGCCGATTCGGCACATTTTCCATTTTTGCCACTCAGCCATGCCTGGGGCCAAGCCCCACTAGCGAAGAGTAAATCGGTGTGTGACACATTTTTCGGATTTAAAAAATGTCGATGGAGGGTTTTCTCCGTTATTTTGTTTTCGTAAACGATTACTAAAAAAAAAATAATAAAGGTCTCTGCAATAATGACTGACAACCGTCATTATTGCACAACTCCCGGCACATGGGATGCATGTGACCCGATGGTCGGCTCCCATATACGAATGGTACAGAACATTTTGGGTAAGTGCGTCTCCACACATCCCCCGCCCTATGAACCCCGGTTTCAAGTGAAAACGGTGAGGCCGAAGAGGTACCCGCCAACCTTTCCATTTATGGGAAGCCAACTCATTGGTGCATTGGCCATCGTGTCGAATGGGAGGGGAAGGGCCGAGCTTCCCCGTCTGCTGCGGTCGTTCGCCCTTAGGACCTGGCTGTTCACCCGGGTGTAGTACAAAGGGTTTGTGGCACACTGCGTTGTGTGTTCCTGGGACGGGCCCTGAGTCCATCACTGCTTGGGGTTCGGGTGGTGGTTAGGGGTGGGTTCCTAAGACCCTTCGCCCCTGAGTTCGAAGTCTTTTGGCGCCTCCACCCAGTGTCTAAGCCATCGCCTTCCGTTGGTTTGCAGCAACAGTCATGCCGCGACTAGGGAGGAGACGACGGGAAGAGCTCGCTGTTGCGGTGATGGCCATTGCCGGCAGGATGGCCGAGGATGCCTTCACATGTCTCGATTCACTGCTCGACAACCACACATGCAGACCGTTGGTGTTGGGCCGGGACGATGACATGGCGGGGACGACTCTTGGAGAAGAGGATGACGACCAGACGTGGGGACGACGTAGTCTGGTTTGGTTGTTGCCAACGATTTATGACATCTGCAAGCTATCGCCACGGGCCTCGCCTAGGTGGTGGGTAATGCGGCGGGCAGCCGGGTTGTAGAAAGACCTCGTTGCCCAGGATGACGTTGAAAACGACCATTACTTGGGGCTTCTATGCATGCGGTGGTCCACTTTCAATAGGCTGCTGCGTAAGGTGGGTCCCCTTTTGGAGAAACATGTGACGAAATTCAGGTTGCCGTTGCCGCCAGCTAAGAAACTGGCGTATGCTCTCCACAGATGGGCCCACAGAGACGGGCACTGGCATAGTTCTTCAGGGTACGGTATGGGGAAAACCAGTGCCTTGCGGGTCGTGCGAGAGGTGGCGGAAGCCATTCACGCGGCGTTCTCGAACGCTGTCGGTTTCGGTGGAGTGGACGAGCGTCACCGTCGAATGCAGCAGTTTCGAGCATTGGGTTTCCCCAATTGCTGGGGTTGCATTGACTGCACTCACGTGTATGTCGACAAGTCGCGATCTGCCGACAGTGACGACTACTACTCTGGGCGTAACAACAGGTTCTCTGTCGTTGCGCAACTCGTTGTCAATTCGGAGCTGCAGATCCTGGACTTCTGCTACGGCTTCCCTGGGATTGTTGGCGATGCCCGGGCTCTAAAGAACACCTCGCTGTACATGCGAGCCCTTAAGGGTTCCTTGTTCGTTGACCTCCCCAACGACCCGTTCAGTGCAGAGAGGTCTTCGATCCCCGGTGTTCCTGATGGGTACTTGCTCGGTGATGGCAGGTATCCCAATCTACCTTGGATTGTCATCCCCTATGGTCAGCAGCCACCCCTCTTGCCGATACTGGTGATGATGATGATGATGATGATGATGATGATGATAATGATGATGATCACGACGGTAGGCCGCCGGAGCAAAATGCGGCTATGACAGCGGTAGGACGCCGTCAAAGGGACCGCTCTCGAGTGTCACCTCTCTAGATCCAACGCGAGCACCTCATCATTATTATCATCATTACCACCACCACCACCATCATCATCATCATCATCATCATCATCATCACCACCACCACCACCATCATCATCATCATCATCATCATCATCATCATCGTCATCATCATCACCATGAACATCAAAACGGGGCCCTGTCACCTGCCCCTCATCCCCAAACTGATGATGATGATGATGATGATGATGATGATGGTGATGGTGATGATGATGATGATGATGGCTATTCATTACCGGATGAGATGGTGGCTATTCAACACCGGGGGAGATGCTGGCTATTCATTACCGGAGGAGAAGGCGGGTACGAGACCGGCGAGGGGAAAGGCCGCCGGAGGAGATGGTGGCTATGAGAGCGGCCATCGGTGGCCGCACCGATCTGCCCATCTTTTACTTCGGTGGTAGCCCGGATGCCGTACACATGCGCAATGAAAAAAAAAAAAAAAAAAAAAAAAAAAAAGGAACAAAAGAGAGAGAGAGAGAGAGAGAGAGAGAGAGAGAGAGAGAGAGAGAGAGAGAGAGAGAGAGAGAGAGAGAGAGAGAGTCGCACCACAACGGATGGCAAAATACGCAGTGGAATCTTGCAAAATGAGAAATAAAATTGAAGTTATTAAATTTTTCCGTCTCTCTCCGACTGAATCAGCTGCCGGATATTCCGTCAATCCCACCCACGTCATAAACACCCACAAACCATTTATGTACGAGTTCTTGCATTACTCGTAGGGGAGTCTTCTTCTTCCTCCCTCGCCACCAACCTCAACCAATGGCCGCTCTGTTCGTCACCGAAATATGACTAGAAAATGGAGAAGAAAAAGAAAAGAATAAAAAGAAGAAGAAGACAAAGACGACGACGACGAAGAAGAAGAAGAAGAAGAAGAAGAAGAAGAATGAATAAGAAAATGATATATTGAATATTTGCGCTCCAACCGTCACCGAAACACAACAAAAAAAAAGGACAAGACAATGCGGAAGAAGAAGAAGAAGAAGAAGAAGAAGAAGAAGAAGAAGAAGAGGAAGAGGAAGAAGAAAAAGAAGATTAATGAATAACAACCCTTCCCTATTCGTCACTGTTCCCATCGCCGTCGTTACCCTCCCCTCCCCCCCCTCTCATCATCGGATGTCGGCGGTGAATACAGGTAGCAGTTGTGGGGAAGGGGTTCCGACCAAGGTTCGGGGTGGACGTAGGTGGCCGCTATTTCCGCCCATCCGTGCGGCCCGTGGGTCGGATCATGCCCCCAATCTCCATTCCGCTGATTAGGGGCGACCCAGTTCGTCCCCCACCCACCGCCATCGCTGCCAGTTCCTCCCGTCGCCAGCGCATCAGTACCGGCGGTCGTTGTGGAAGTTGGACCTGTCCCGCTATCAGCCTATCGCCTCCTGCTCTGTGCGGCGCGACCACCGCAGCAACCTGTCCACTCGCCTCGACCCCGCACCGACCTGAGCACCCGGCTCTGAAGTCATCGTCCGCCTTCTGTTTTCCCTCTCCATCTCTCTCTCTCTCTCTCTCTCTCTCTCTCTCTCTCTCTCTCTCTCTCTCTCTCTCTCTCTCTCTCGGGGCGAGCAACAGGTCTGTGAATGCCCGACGAACTTCCTGTACGGAAAGAGGTTATACACAGACCTTTATAGTCATGCATCGCCCTCCCCACATCCCCCGGCTCGTGTTTCAAAACATATGAATGA